CGTTCGCCAGGGTGAACGCCCGCTTTTGGTGGGTGTTTCTGAAGCGCCACATTAGCTTCGACTGTGGCATCTGCGACAGATGAACGCATTGCTACACGCATTTTACGCCCATTACACTCCTCCATAACCGTGATCATGCGAGGCGCAATCTGCAGTATTTGAAATAAACGTTGTGTTAAACCCAAGTCATACGTCTGCCTAATCTCATTAAGAAGCACGCAAATGTATAACCAATAATTGTGAAAGACTTCAGTGCCACGTCGGATTGATCCCACGGATAAACACTGGTTCCGCACGTCTTATCTTTCACTAGTTAATCGTTTGTATGGAGTTCTCGAACGGTGATTTTTGTGGGCACGTGCATATCCTATCACACGAGCCGCTAAAAGAGAACATTGCCCCTATACAAAAAAAGAGATAACACAGCGAGATAAAATTGAGTGCGCTCCTGCTTTCTCAACAAAAGAAAGGAGGTTCAAGGCGATCAACGTTGACTACAAAAGGAAGAGGCTAAGAGCACAACGCGAATATTTAACTAGAACTTTGTGCGCATTGATTGATATGTGAGGTTTAACGTCCCAAAACCACCATATGATTATGAGAGACGCCGTAGTGGAGGGCTCCGGAAATTTTGACCACCTGGGGTTCTTTAACGTGCACCCAAATCTGAACACATGGGCCTACAACATTTCCGCCTCCATCGGAAATGCAGCCGCCGATGCCGGGATTCGATCCCTCATCCTACGGGTCAGCAGCCGAGTACCTTAGCCACTAGACCAACTTTGTGCGCAAACATTTACAGTTCAATGTTTAGGGAGAGCTGGGTAGCCCAGAAATTTGAATCATGTTGGCAGCGAATACCAACTGTATTGTCAAAAAAGAGTGATTCGTTATTATCAAGAGGCAAGTGGAAGCAGTCAACATCTGTGGGCTGTTTACACAGTTGGGACAAAATGCACTGTGCGCATTCGGGGCATACTCACAATCTGGAGACGTTTGCCACCTGGCGTGTACCTTTGGAGAGAGGGGGTTTGTCGCGTTGAATGACTTTGGTTTTTAAACAGAATCCTTTCCGATGACGGTGGCATCTTGCCTATGATCCTGCAGCACGTCTCTAAATTTTTGAGCAGGTTCTGGCTCTTAAAGCATGAACCTGCCGCTGGTTGCACGTGACTTCTGGTGGCTGTGCTTTCTTCTTTTTCATTTTTGTGCCTGTCACATATATATTTTTGCAACAGTCGTGTTGAAACAGCTTCTCGAGCCTGAGTTAGCCGGTTTTATCATGGTGGGAGTAGGTTTCTTAACTGAGGATGCGAAGTAAAAAAAAAACGAATGTATAACTTGCGTCTAGCATTTTGCATCACGTAAGAGCATAGCTTGCCAAGACAGAAAAATTAGACGAAGTGCCATTGTTTCTTCACACAGCCGCTTTCAACTTTCCTCCTCGTATTTCATGTCATCCAAGCAAAAGTATGCAAAGTTTTTTTTACAACTTCTATTCCTTTGCTCACGCTAGACTTTTTTAACGCATTGAAAACTATCTCATATATATATATATATATATATATATATATATATATATATATATATATATATATATATATATATATATATATATATATATATATATATATGGGAGTAATAATTCAATGGGCCAGTTAGTCTTCGTGAAGATATGGGATTAAGCACAACGGGAGCGTTGTCAACAAGGATAAATATATTTATTTCCCAACAGTTTTGGGAGGGGTCCTCCCTTCATCAGGGGATGAGTTATACTGACATGAACTTCCAAACTTTGTTGCTGCCGCGTTTCTCTCGCCTTGAAAGATGTTTGCGAGAGTGAGATAGAACTAAAAAAAGAAAAAAAAACAAAGAAACAAAAAGGGGGAAAAAGACGAAAAAGAAAAAGAAAGAAAAGAAAGAAAGTAAAAAAGAGGAAGAACCACTGTCAACACTGAGAACGAAACCAACTGTCCGTGTACGTTCACATACGGTTCTTATCACGTGCTGTTCAGTTCTCGACGTGTGTCGGGCCACCCAAGATTGTCGCCGCGGTGCCGGGAGGGTCCGTGACGGCGTGCGTAAAGAAAGGGTTTCCCCGTAATGGGTCGGTCGGCGTGCGGCGTGCGTAAAGAAAGGGTTTCCCCTTAATGGGTCGGTCGGCTCTTTGCCTTTAATCTTCGTCCGTTTCCCTTCAATGGTCATCAAGTGGTAGGCGAACGTAAACACTTTGTATGTGCATGTGGAAAAAGGAAAAAAAGGAAGAAAAAAAGAAAAACAAAAAACAAGAAAGGACAGTGTACACGTACGAGTCAGTCAGAAAAAAGCATGGTCTCCAGCTATCAATCTTTGTCACCAATTTCCTCCTGGCTTACTTCTCGGAGGCAGTTGAGTTTTCCGGGGTCCTCGTTGATGCCGGCTACTAATGTTCGAAATTGGAAAATAAAATATGCCTCACGCTGTTCGCGCTCGCGTCTGTTTGAGAAACCGGACTGCAAAAGAGTTACGCTGATATTTTCAAAACTGTGGTTTGGCAGGCGCAGATGTCTAGATAAAGGTAGCTTCGGCAGTGAAGTGGCGTGGTACCGGTGATTATTGAACCACAGCCGAAATGGCGTGTCTGTTTGGCCGATATATTCTTGTCCGCAGATGTTGCAATGTAGCATGTATATTACGTTACTGGAGTCACAATTAAGGATTTCAGTTTTGCAGAATTTGAAATCCAAGAAGTTCGCTTTGGATTCACGTGTTGTGACCGTCTGTGGGCATACCTTGCATCGAGCTTTTCCGCAGGGATGGCACCCTGATTGAAATTTGGGGGTGTTTGTTTTTGCTCTGACAAGAATGTCCTTCAGATTTTTATCCCGGCGGTGCACCACGTGAGGTGGCTTCGCGAAAATAGAAGTTAGTCGTTTGCTTTGCCTGATTATGTTGAAATGGCGGGAAAGTATGTTGTTGATTCGTGGCGCTGATGAGGAGTAAGTTAGTACAAGTTTCGTTTGTGAAGTCGTTTTAGATACTCTGTTTGGTCCCTTAATTATATCATTCCTGTTCATGTTGCGAGCACGTAGTATGGCATCGTCAATAATGTCTTCCGGATAATTTTGTTTCAATAAGGAATGCTTTAGATGTTCCGTGTGTCTGTCAAATTCCCGCATATCGGTGCATATTCTTCGGTACCAGTAGGCCTGAGAATATGGAATACCCATTTTGCAATGCTTTGGGTGGCTGCTGTTGAAATGTAGGTACATTTGACGGTCTGTAGGCTTTTTGTAAAGGTTTGTTGACAAGCGGTCATTTTTGACCGTGACAGTGACGTCCAAAATGTTAATGCTAGTTTTGGAATTTTTGTGCGTGAATTTTATTGACGGGTGGCACTTGTTAAAATCCTCTATGAAGCGGAAAAGACTTCCCTCATCATGGTTTCATATCATAAAAATATCGTCTAAGTATCTTCTGCAGTAGAAAGGTTTCAAGGTGCGTTCTCAATGAATGGGATTTCAAGTGAAGCCATAAAGGTGCTCGCGAAGTTTGGGGACGTTTTCGTGCCCATTGCAGTGCCACTGACCTGAAGGAAATGCTTGCCATTGAACTCAAAATGGTTATAATTTAGTACAAGTTCAAGAAGTGTAAACAGTAGCCCGCCACTTTCACTAGTTGATGAGTCAGATTTTACATATTCAGAAACCATAGCCGCTATTCCGTTCTTCCTCTTTTTTACTTTGTTTCTCTTCTTTATGTTTCTTTTTCGTCTTTTTTCTCCCCCCTTTTTTGTTTTTTTGTTGTTTCCTTTTTTTAGTTCCATCTCACTGTCGCAAACATCTTTCAAGGCGAGAGGGACGCGGCAGCAGCGAAGTTTTGAAGTTCATGTCAGTATAACTCATCCCCTGATGAAGGGAGGACCCCTCCCGAAACTGTTGGGACATAAATATATCTATCCTTGTTGACAACGCTCCCGTTGTGCCATATCCAATATATATATATATATATATATATATATATATATATATATATATATATACATTCTTCACAGCCGGTACTAATTGAAAACTGTACTGCTTTATTTGGCCTAATGCGGCTAGAAGAAGCATAGTGGCATTTTCTCTCAAGTTTTTGTTACACAATTATATCACGTATTTCAAAATGTATGGCTATATAGGTGTAAGCGAAACATCTCTTGCTCCTTCGAACTCTTTTTACACTAAAGTTCACGCATTAGGTAGCCTTGCAGCATTTTCGAGAAATTCTATGCTTGTTTTTGCTATTTTTGTTATCAAGCCTTATTACAATGCTAGTGCATCGTGCTGTTGGATCTATTGGCAGTCGAACGTTGGTATATGGGACAGACCTGAAGCGAAGTATTGAAAAACTGTGTTTTGTGGTTTCATTACTTTGCTGGAGCTTTCAAGCGTGGAGATACCTAACGTTTTTCAGGTAACCGATGTCTTGACCCGCAAGTGCTAAATGCAGCGGATAGACACATATAAAGATAAATCCCACCGATAATTATGCCTAACGGGGCACTGAAAAGTGGCCACGACATTAATGCTGCCGGAGATTAGTAGTTTTGGTATGCCGGCCGTGAAGACAAAGGTGTGGGAATGGTTGCAGCAAGCTGACCGCTCAGAAAAATTCGCGCACATGTAATTGTTTAGCTGTGCGTTCGCATGTGGCCGAACTCAACCAGTGCACTGAAAAGGGGAGACATCTTTGTTTGACAGGTTGCCGTTAAACGCTTGATAACAGTGATAGGAGCACCAAAAACAATGAACGACGCTCGCGCAGATCAGCTCGGAGCTCGCCACGTGTCGAATCGGTTTGAATATATGACCTCCGCTGAGAGGGTGCCTGAATGGGTTTGTTTTCACTCAGCACGCTTGCCTTTAGTCATCAGCGTTTCTTCATGAGCTGCCGCGTAACTGCGAGCTCGTAGGCTGCAGTGCGAAGAGTGCACTGCTATTGGAAACTCCGGGTGCATAGGAGCCTGCTACTTATATACAATGCCGGCAGCCATGATTCTCAGGTCACCTTATTACCAAGTCATCGACGGCGTCCGACGCTCCGCTATAGTCCAACCGGATGTCTTAAGAAAAGCCCTGCATTTCACGCCAGTGAAGGGCGACATCCTCCAGATGTCTTATCCAAAGTGTGGCACACATTGGATGCAGTATCTGACGCTCCTAATTTTAAACGAAGGGCGGCCCATCAGGAACTACCAAGAGTTTTCGAGCAGCGGCCGATCTGTCGAATATGCCGGCATCGAGGGCTGGAAACCCCACAACGGTGAACGGACGCTTCCCTACAGAGCGATGTTGACGCACCTGGACCCACCGCGGAAGAAACACCTCAACGCGGACGCCAAGTACGTGTACGTGGCGCGCAATCCCTGGGACTGTTGCGTCTCCTTTTACCACCACGTCTCGAATCTGAGTCCGTTCCGCTTCCAAGACGGGACCTTCGACGAGTTTCTCGACTCGTTCTTGAGGGGCGACTTCGGGTACGGTGACTACTTTGATCACGTCTTGGCTGGTTACGCCCTGAAAGATGAGCCCAACGTACTCTTCGTCACTTACGAGCAAATCAAGGAGGACACACGCTCGGTTGGGCTAAAGCTTGCATATTTTTTGGACGAACGATATGGCAGGGCACTGGAAACGAATGACTGCCTTCTCCGTACGTTGATGGAGAGGTCGACGGTGGAACACATGAAAAAGTTGCTTGTTTTGGACCTTAAGGGTGAAGAAAATCCAGCGATGAGTGGCCTCTTCAAGGGTCGAGAAGTTTATGCCAAAGTTGGATACCAGGGAGACAGAAGCAAGTATTCGTTTGTTCGGAAGGGCATTGTAGGTGGTTGGAGCGAGCATTTCACAAAATGGCAGTTGCAAAAGATGAACGTCAGGATTACCGAGAGAACAAAAGGTTCTGACGTTATGTGTTTATGGACAAACATTGTGCGAGAAACAAAGAATGCCATGCGAGGTGAGCAGTAATGTAGAGCCTCTGCCAGATTACAGGCAAGGCACTCGTGAGGAGCTGATTCGGGGCGGAAGAAGTTCTAAGAGTGAAAACAGTTACAAAAATACCTAGATATTGTGTAACAAATGCAAAGTTAAAAAAAAAACATCGAACAGTCGAGGTTTCATGGAAGTATATATTACATGCCACAAAAGAGAGTTTTTATTTTGGTACGCAAAACTAATCAAATCTGTCACTGCAATCTCACATCACTGGTATACCCTGGTCTTGTGTTGAAACGCTCAATATTTTTAATTGCCGGACAAGCTGAATTTACAGATGAAGTGATGAATCCTGTGCTATGCACTTCTGAAAAACAAACCGAGAGCAGCAGGCTTGAGCAGTTTAGTTCAGAACTCGTTTGTTTTCGGCATTGGGTCACAGTGAACAACACACCACTAAGCGTTTATTACGAATTTTATAATAATATTGTGTGAAGCTTTACATGCCAAAAACCACGATACAATATTAGGGCACACCATAGTGGACGGCTGCAGGACCCATGTGTGGTTCTTTAGCGTGCACTGACATCGCAGAGTGCACAGACCTGTAGTATTTCACCTCCATCGAAATGTGACGGCCGCGGCTGTGATCGAACTCATGACATTCGGGTTAGCGTCCTAGCCACGTGACAACTACACCAGCGTGGCGGACGCAGTTGGTTTCGTCCGATAATTTATGCTTACTTTTTTATACGAGAGGAAATGATACACACATCGTGTGTGGGCTTCCCACAGAGTAATGTGAGCTTTGTAGTCTGGTCTGTGAGTTTATATTACTGTGGATAAATATTCACGATATGCTATGACTATGAATTCTTTCAACACCTAGACATCCACATGCCGATGTGTCAGGCGCGTGCCACTTAAAAGGAACTTCCGTAATTAAGGTTCTTCACATCATGGGTGAAAGGGTGTTTATTTTTCAAGTTTTAAACACAATGGTGATGTCGTAGGCACGCTGAGGCCAAGATGACGCACTTCAACCAATTGCATTTCTACTCAACTCGTTTTCGCCGACAAAATGGCTAATATACTACGCGGTACTGACCAAGCCACAGATAGATTTCCTGTACTTGTTTTTCTCAAAGACCCAGCATAACCTAATCGTCTAGAATCCTGGAATGCTTCTGTAAGTCAGCATGCTGTTATTTTATAGACAGCACAGACACCGCTTCCCTCGCTACGGAGGTGGCTTTTTTTTCCGCTTTCATTTTGTGAAGCTTACCCAGACAAGTTAACATGGGCCCTGATTTGCATGTAATCAAAATTAGGTGGAAAAAATCAGACAACAGTAAAAAAGCAATACACAGATCACATTCAAATTTATTTTGTTCGTATTGATTGCTCTACCCTTGCAATGAAATTGCGACTCTTCCTCGCCGACCAAAACAGCACAAATACTTAGCGTGGACTAATAGGCCACCTTGTTGTTGTATCATGCTCGGAAAGTTAAGCGCGGCCCTGAAATGACGAGGACGGGACAGGGAAAACGCACACAAGCGCTAAATTTCAACGATGCGCAAAGATGTAACTACGCGGTTCATCGTAGAATCAGCTTAAATACATAAGCTAGGCCAGAAATGTGTCAGCGCACCATCATTATTTTCATGCAGAAAAAGAAATTGTCGCTTTTTGATGCCACAACATTAGCGCATGCCTGAGTGTCCACCATGTTTCTGGGTCGATTCAGCGCTTTTGTCTGTTCTCCCTGTAATGCCCTCGTCCGTTGAGTGGTGGGCTTAGCTATGTGAACATAAATGCGACTCTTCGGGTTTTAAGCACGCCCAGCTCCACATACTAGAGGTCCCGTTCAATGAGCTTTTTGACTTTGCAAGTCTGTATTCTCAAGCACATGACGATTATATATAATTTCTCTCCGACAATGTACAGACAGACTTCTACGGTTAGTATTTTAATCTGTCCTCAAGTTTATCCTGCATCAAGTATCACCTAATGATGTACACGTAAACAGTACAAATAACACAAGGGGGGAACATTCTTTTTAAGTTCTGACTGTTCCAAACCACCGGTATCCTACAGTGTGGCTGTACTAAAAAATGCCCACAGAACGTTGTACTGCCAAGCGGCCAGCAGTAGCCGCTCTTTTACCAGTGTTGAACAAAGCCAGCAACTTCCTGTGCTATAATGAAGCGCAGAATTTTTGACAATCGCAATCATACTGTTGCAAGACAAGTTGCAGCTTCAGTCTTTAGCGTGGAAGTTCATAGGGCCACATTTCGAGATGAGTAGGCATACATACTCGAAGCAACGCAGACTACGTTAGCGCACAAGTCACAAGTGCACAGGTAACCGACAGACACTGCCATGATTAGGAGCTGATATGGCGTATGCGTTAGCCGCCCATCACTGCATTAATTGTAGGCTCAGCATGCATATCTACAACAAAATGCAATATTGGTATGCGTTATCACTGCTGTTGGTGTTTGTACTGTGACTCGTTAACACATCATGTCTGTTCTCAAGCAAGTTAAAATTGCATGATTTAATGTTGAACAGGAGGGTGCTCTGTTAACATTCTTTGGTTTGATTGTAGTGGAGTTCGTGCATACTTAATTTCTTAAAATAATTTCTTAAAAACCTTCTCCAAGCGTCATCCCGAGTGTTACTCTAAATGTGCAGATTTCTGCGAACTACACCCACAGGGGCGTCTGTGAGAGCAGGCGTTTGAAGCGCAGCGATCCACGGACCCAAGACAACGGGGGAGTTTCGACTCCCTCCCACGCCTAGCCGTGCGTGGCTGAGCCGTGTCCGGGGAAAAGGGGATCCTGGGGGCTGAGCCGACGCCGGGTGATTGGACCTTAAAGGCCCCCGGCAGAGGCAACACACCCCTTTGGCCCCGGCTTCAAGTAGACGGCGCCTCTGGACTGACCCACCCAGGAGAAATCGGCAGTCGCCTTTTCCTATTCCCTCCCCCCTCTCTATATCTTCGTCTTTGCCATCACTTTTTGTATTTCCTGTCTTTTTGTTTCTTCCTTTTACTTCCAAATTTCCTGGCGGCGAAGGTTAACCCTGTGCAAATAGCCTACCTTGGTCTAGGCTCATCATGGGTTATAGTGGCGCTGTACGAATGGCGTCGTTAAGTTTTTAAATGCGAAGCGTTTCTTAGCGAATTTCCGCCACCTTGCGCGTATCTATCTATCTATCTATCTATCTATCTATCTATCTATCTATCTATCTATATATCTATCTATCTATCTATCTATCTATCTATCTATCTATCTATCTATCTATCTATCTATCTATCTATCTATCTATCTATCTATCTATCTATCTATCTATCTATCCATCCATCTATCCATCCATCCATCCATCCATCCATCCATCCATCCATCCATCCATCCATCCATCCATCCATCCATCCATCCATCCATCCATCCATCCATCCATCCATCCATCTATCTATCTATCTATCTATCTATCTATCTATCTATCTATCTATCTATCTATCTATCTATCTATCTATCTATCTATCTATCTATCTATCTATCTATCTATCTATCTATCTATCTATCTATCTATCTATCTGTCTGTCTGTCTGTCTGTCTGTCTGTCTGTCTGTCTGTCTGTCTGTCTGTCTGTCTGTCTGTCTGTCTGTCTGTCTGTCTGTCTGTCTGTCTGTCTGTCTGTCTGTCTGTCTGTCTGTTTTGGTTGGCAGGTGCAATCCTTGCAGTGCATCGCTAAGTTTGAGTAAGGGTCAACAAGAAAGGAACTGTAGAATTGAACAGATGTAGCACAAAACATGGCAGGAGGTACGTTGAGTGCAAAAAAGATGTATACGGAACTCCTTTCACATGAGGAAAGGAATACGTTGGTCAGACGGGTCGGTGCATAAATGCGCGCCTTCGTGAACATGAGAGTTCACTAAAGGGGGCCCCTTACTCACACTTAGCGATGCACTGCAAGGAGTGCACCTGCCGACCGAAATTTCCAGACACTTGAATAATTGACAGGCACAGCAAGCAGACGACGAGAGAAATAATGGAAGAGCATAGAATAAGAAAAGGAGGGGACAGTTGCGTCAGTCATGCGTCAGTTCTACTAACAGATGCGGAATTTGCTTTTTCGGACGTTACATAGCCCAGCACATTTTTTCTGTTTTACGTTTTTTTCTGTTAATTGTTTTTTTTTCTGTTTTACGTTTTCTTTTCTTGGTTTTTGACACGTGTTTGTTTCCAGTTGTGTGTCATCGATTATGGGAGTGCATATTTTGTTATATCACGTTGTTGATGATGACTGGGGAAGTTGGGAATGACGTACATTCGTGTGATGTATTTATTAGTGTTCGCTTCTAAATAAAATTTTCAGTCGCTAGTAAGCGCTTGTCTGTGTCCTCTCTGAGTGTGTGTATTTTTAGCGCTTGTTTCATCATGAATTATACGGATGTCATGAATGTCATGATTTACGTTTCATTGTCCTGCAGCTCTTGCGGTGGTTTCGTTCACATGGCGTGTTGCAAAACTGGTATGGTATGACATCACTGCATAGTGAACACGAGCGACAGACCCTAACATGAAAATCGTGACTTGAGTGTCATGTAACAACACGATTACATGCCAAGCTCATGACGCGCTCGCTGGCGTTTCGCTAGTGACACATATACCAAATTTGGTATTACGGTACGTGAATGGATGATGAGGGTATATGACTGGTGCAAACATGATAATCATGAGATGTGTGCCATGCAACAACATGACTACATGCCACACTCATGATGCGCTAGCGGCCATTTCGGTAGCTTCCCTTATACCAAATCTGGTGTTACGGGACGTGAATGGATGACGAAGGTATGGTACTGGTGCAAACATGATAAACATGAGATGCGTGTCATTTAACAGCATGACTACATACCACGCTCATGATACGCTGGCGGCCGTTTCGCTTGCTTCACTTATACCAAATTTGGTATTACGGGACGTGAATGGATGACGAAGGTATGATACTGGTGCACACATGATAAACATGGGATGCGTGTTATGTAACATGACTACAAGCTATGCTCATGCTACGCTACATGCTAACATTTTTTACAGAAATACAAGTCCTTTCACGGCACGAATCGGAATTCAGATAATAAAACTAATATAACTACAAGCTCCTCAGTAAAACAAGGAAAGCAAGTATCACTGATGAAACATATAATATACAAGTAATCGAAACACATATTAAATATCATAGTTTAATTATAAGGCGTATGATTTACACAAGTCATCTCAATTTCACTACAATCGTATACCAGAACACCAAGTACACCATGCAACTTCAAGGTATGCGTGTAGCGCTTAGTGCCACATGGTGGTTCTGACTGTCAATAGAAGAGAGAGGATGGTTTACCGCCGTAACTGTAAATCTAGCCTGACACAGTAATATTTGAAAGCATGCCTTCTACTCTTTTTACCACTAGTGTAATGAGAAAGTATTGGCATGCATGGCATGAATATCTGCAGAATACTTGCGTGTCTTTTGACAACATTGGTGAAATGTACGAACATCCACGATGGCTGTAAGGCGAAGCAGCTAAGGCAGGCGCACGTGTGCTCCGCACCAGGTGCTCGGTGTAATTTGCTTGCGAGAAGACTGACGCTGTGGAGAGCTGGTGGCACTGGACCAACAGACCTTGGCATAGGCTCCGTTATATTTTTATCTTATTTTTTCTGTTTTTATGCTTTACTTTTTTAGATTACGCGTATCTTAACGTTTCTTACTTTGACGAGTTGACCTGTCTGTGTCTTTATGGCTTGGCCATCATAAACAATATAAGGCAACTATACACTTTAAAATACGCCCATTGTGTCTTCCACGGGAACAGATCCAGACAAAAGATCACAAACAACGAGGTTAATTACCAAATTCGACTTTACTACAACTACGCTAATATATCTGCAATGAGTTATGTATCCTGCCTGTTACATTCAGTTATTTTTGCGTGTAGATTTTGAACCTTGAGATGCAACTGGTTCGAAACAATCTCCTTCAGATTGCAATTTTACCTTTTTGTCGGTTTCAGTGGCTGCTATAGCTTCTTTTCTTACGTCCCTCCAGAGATCCATCGCAGACGTTTTCTTTTCGACCTGCTGTATCGCAGCCTCCATTCTACGCAACTGGTCAGGAGAAAAATGGTCTTTCCAACTGCCGATAGCGCCTTTCCTCACGAAACTGTACTTCTGCGAGTCACTTTCGTAACCGACCTTGAATTTTACCTTTCCGTGACGTGACTCGCCTGTAAACAAAGCACTTGACGGTCTGCTGAAATCGAGAACAAGGATGCGTCTCATATTATCTGGAGTGGAGCTTGCGAGAATCTTTTGAAATATGGAGTCATTAGCTTGTAAATCTGCAGCATATTCTTCGCCAAGAAACCGAGCCAGCGTCATGACAACAGCCCGAGTGTCTCTGAGGAGTTCTTCGTAGGTGACAAATAGAACGTGTGGTTCATGCCTTAGGGCATGCCCGGACGCCACGTGGTCGAAGTAACACCCGTGACCAGCAGCGTCACCTTCCAGAAAATCGTCGAAGAACTCATCGAACGTGCCGTCTTGAAAGCGGTACGTGCTAAAGTCCGTTACCATGTGAAATAGGGAAACACAAACGTCCCACGGGTTCCTAGCCAAGTAGACGTATTTCGCCTGCGCATTAATGGTGCTCCTTTGGGGTGGTAGGTGAGTCGAGAAAAGGCGCAGGGGTAGGGGTGGTCGCCAGTCGGCGAAATCCATGCCTCCTAGAAGTCGCGTGCTTTCTGCAAATTCTTCGTAGGTGCGGGCCCCTTCGCCTTTGTTGAGAATGCACTGCACGATGTACAGCAACAGGTGCGTACCGCTCTTTGGGTAGGTGTGCAGAACCAAGTCCCCGCTCCCAGCCCGGAAATTCAAGCTGGACCGGAATAACTCGGCGTCGTAATTAGGATCTCGGGGCACGCCATCAATGAGTTGAGTGTAAGGCTTTCTAGGTGCCATTGCTGCTGCCTCGCAGTTCGTTTGCCTGTTAAAGGGAAAGAAAATGCGAAGAGGATGTCAAACCGGACAGTCCTCAGTATTCACTCATGGTGGTAGGGTGAATCGGAACTTGAGGGTGCCTGGTTACAACGCATAATACACGATCACCACGAACGCTATGGGCTTCCATAGAAATTTGAGACTTGCTCCCCACTCCTCCGTGAACCGAACTGCATCATCTGACCAAAAATCCTCCAGCCCTAGACAGCGTTGCTCACTACTTATAATTGCTTTCTTTTCGGCCACAAGGGGTTGAATTGCGGCCACGGTGGCCTTATTTTGGATGAAGACGAATATGATTGAGGCTTGTGGGCTCAAATGGAGGTGCATGTTAAAGAGACTAGGAAGCACAAATTTTCGGAGCTCTCCACTGCAGCGTTTTTTAAAGCCAAAGTGGTTTTGGGATGCTAAACGCCTACAATTGTCAATTATTTTTAGGTGGCTTACGTGTGCAAGCCCTTGCGTTTTTTGTACTCCGATAAGTGGTAGCGCGTAGTAGGAAATAGCGCAAAGCTTTCGTATGCAAGCTACTTCACATTCCCGGCAAAAAGACTGCAATAATACCAATTCCCATCCCCCCTGAGTGTTTTGAAGCTGACGTGACATACAGTTGTTTTCTGCCAAAGTAAATTCTGAGCAATTACCATTGTCGCTGAAGTCTTATAAAGAAAAAGTTGGCAGATCCCACGTACAGGGGGAATCGGTGATATGCGAACCACGAATGAGCAGTTTTGATATCTCACTTTAAAATCAGCACAACGTTACGAGGTGAAGGTAAATGAGGCCGTACATGACTTCTGTGTCATAATTATCATGTTTAGATGTGTCGTTCACTGCCGTCATCATCTATTCACATCACGTGATACGAAATTTTGTATATGTGCAGCTAGCGAAATGGCCGCGAGCATGCTATGAGCGTGCTAAGTTGTCATTTTACCTGTTGCAAGATTATCAGGTTAGCACCAGTCATATATTGCGTCATACATTAACGTCACGTAAGACGAAATTCGGAACATGTGGAGCTAACAAAACGACCGCGAGCGCATAATGAAGGATGCAATATATTCCAATGTAGCGTAGACGTGCGCGTAGGCTGGGCACAGCGACGCTATCTTAGAAAAACACGAGCACTCTATATTCTGACGCCAGGCGCCACCGGCGTACGTTGGCGCGGCCCGACGGCAATCAGCGCGAAGTGCGGCATACTGCATTTTGCACCGATGCATTACCCAGATAACACTGCGTCTCCCTCTTTTCGTCACTGAGGGACGCCGGACGCACTGAAGCGCGCATACGTCAAAGCAACGAAGCGCGGCGCGAGCCTGCGAGTATATGGCAGGACCGGCGCCTAGCAACGCCGGCGTGACGCAACGAAATGAACACCGGTGAGCCACCGGTGAGCACGTGCACCCCGTCACGTCGAAATATATTGGCGCCTTTACTGTGGCATGTAGTAATGTTATCACATGACAGGCATCTCATGATTATCATGTTTGCACGAGTCACATACCTTCGTCATTCATTGACGTCACGTAATACCAAATTTGGCATATGTGAAGCTAGCGAAACGGCTGCAAGCGCATCATAGGCGTAGCATATAGTCATGTTGTTACATGACACGTATGTCATGATTTTCATGTTAGGGTCTGTCGCTTATGTTCGCCATGCAATCACGCCGTACCATACCAGTTTTGGAACATGCCATGTGGGCTAAGCCACAAGAACCGCAGAATCATGAAATCTAGATGATGACATTCATGACATAAATATCACAATTTTCATATTATGACAAGTCAAATGTGTTCTTCATACAGTCATGTTATGTCACACAAGTTTGGTATCGATAGCATTATCGAAACGGCCAGGAGAGCTGAAAGTCGTAGGCGGCTAGACAGATAGATAGATACGCTCAAATTCGCCGAAGTTCGCTGAGAAATGCTTCGTACTTAAAAGTGAAATGCCTAAGTTCTCTGGCGTAGACCGCCACGCCTACTGAATCGTACATATCGAAATATGTGTGTGTTTACGGCCAGAAAAAAGACAATGAGGACGTGAGGCCTGCGCTAAATAGGGATGGGCACGAAGAATGAAGTGCAGAAAAGAGAAGAAAGGGAAGGGGCAGATGGTGTGAGTAGTTGGGTGCAGTCGGGTGGCTGGACCCGAGCATCCTACCTCAGCGTTGCGGTCCGCGAGTTGAGGTGAAGGGCATCGAGGGGCCGGCAACTATTTCCGCCCCCTGCGCTTCACTACCGCAAATGTCAAGCTTCCCTGGTAGTTCCTAGGGACTTATGCTCACCTCCCAGGAGCTACTGTCTCACCGCCAAGCACCTCTTCTCATCACCAAGTATTTACTCCTCTCGTCCCCATGCAGTATTTATTTTTATGTCCGAATATTTCCGGCCATTCTCGACAGGGCGGCGCTCCATGCCCGTGGGAGCTACAGCGCTGGTTCCCCATAGAAATTGAGCGATGTTGAAAAAACACTCACCCTGAAACGATTGCTTCTCGCCTGTAAACAGCGTTGTTTTCGAACACGAGCATATATACTTACCTGAGTGACAGGTGATGAATGAAAAAGCTTTGACATCCTTCGCCGCCATCACTTATGACACGACAAACCGGATGAGACACCTATCTGTAATAACTGTTCTCCTTTGTATCCGGTGATTAGTTTTTGCTTTAGTTGTTCTTTATAATTGCTAGCGCATTTCCTTGGCCGCGCCATTCCGCGCGTGGTAGCATTCTTCTTCAGGAGTTTCCTTACAACCAGTATGATCAACTGTCAATGTTCGAGTACTGACGATGCATTTTCGCCGCATATGTCTGTAACATTTCTTAGGAAGGTTTTGAAACATTTGTGTATTTAACTGTACATTTGAAAGCCACACTAGACCTTGCTACAGTGTCGCGTGGTAAAACTGAGAGTTCTAACCATAATATAGCCGTTCTGTTATATCACAGGTAAAGGGCCTTTTTTTGCAATAATTGTATGCAGTTGAAACCATTCCTTCTAAAACGTAACTTAATATTGTGAACTAGAAAACCCGAGCTGTGTTGTTTTGATAATAAAAATTGGCCCGTATCTGCATGTTTCACTGCAAGTGTCGCCGAAAGACGATAGTCAACAAAATGTTTACTTGATGTTTTGCGCGAGAAAATCGGTGAATTGTGTTCTGGAAGCGCTGCGTTAGAGAATCTCGATCCGTGAAGCGAAGGCGAAAGGCTGCATCGAGGCACGCTAGACACGAGCACCATCTGGCAGTTATCTTCAAAAACGAAGGAAGGCGTGTGCGCCTGTCTCGGTGGCGATAAGGTGCAGAACGCGAATCGACGGGCAGTTGCCACCACCGTGTCGTCTTTGCAAAGCTTTGGAAACACTTGCCTTTTTGAGCCTAGCGTTGCACTGTCAGGGCAGCGGGGTAGACGCTATGGTCGTTAGAATAACTTATGTAAGCCTTCCCTAGTGTAAAGGCACTTGTGGTGCTTTAGATATGCGCAATAATTGCTTTTTATTTTAGAATCACACAAGTATGAGCGCTGAAACTCGAGCAGTATTGGTGGACGCTGTGGACGGTGTTGGCCGTTTAAGGTATGGTTTGATGCTTTTAAAAGGGCCACTCACCAGGCGCCATATCGAATTTCAGTTAGACAGTGGAAGTTGTTGGGTGTCCGATGAGGAACATTTTGCCACAGAATTTTCTTGAATCGGTTCATCACAAGCGGAGAAAACAGGTTTTTAAAGCGGCGCGAAACGAGGGTGAGAGGAGGTGAGCTCGAAACCCTTGGCACTCCTCCGCGTAGCCTTCGCCAGCCAAAGCTCTTTTCCACCCTTTCCGGCATCCGGCCAAGAGATGACGTGCGCATGACGTGCCCAAACAAGTCTATCCCCCGAGCACGCGAGCAACGTTGCTTTGTTGACCAGACTTATTTTGTGGTCTTCTACCTGTTTCTGCAGGATGGTTTGGAAACGCTGGCTTACACGTGGTAGAGTAGATGAGCACAATGAGTGTGCGAACGCGTAGGAGCGTTCCATGGCGGTCGTCTGCTCAATGTACTGACCATGGGGACACGAACGCATGTGAAACGCTGGCACATTAGCCCCGAATCGCGTAGCATTTCACGGGAAATAATGAAAGAAAAACGCGCACAATTTTAGGGGCGAAGCTCCTTATGGCGTGGCTTGTGCGTCCCTCGTAGTACGCAACCACCAGTGGCACATACCCGAAATAGCGGTGCTTACGATTTTGACCTCCAAGGTGGTTCCGGTGAGAGATTTCTTCTGTGCGTTGTTGAACAATAAAAGATAGTGCTCAATGCACATGTTAATGGCTGCTAAGGGGGAATGAGAGACAGGAGCATTCGGCCTTTAGGTAACACGCACGCTGCGATCCCCATTAGCAGCTATTGGCATGTACATTGAGCACGATCTGACAAGAAAGGGTTGCTACGTTATACTCGCTGGGTGTAACCTTCTTGGTTTAGAAAGGTTTAGCGAGCGTTGGGCCGCATAGCCATGAATACAGTGAACTAGTATATACCATGAACTCGAGGTGGTTAAAGGTGGGAAGTAAACCCGAAGCGCAAGCCGTAAGAAAGCGTGCATGTGCCACCTCCCGTTTAATCCATGAAATGTCCGCTGGATGGCGGTGCTTCTATATGGAGAATATATGATGAAAAGATGCAAGATGGTGGTACTTGGAGTGCTGAATAGATGGACGAACGGACACACAGACAGATGCATGGATGGACGCATGAACGGACGCAGGCGCGGATGCATGGACGAACGCAGGGACGGACGCACGAACAGACGCACGCACAGACGGGTGGATGGACGTATGGACGGTTACACAGACGTACGCAGGAACGGACGGAAGCAAGAACGAATGGACGGA